ACCTGGCCATTTCCCCACAAGGTGGGTGACAATGGGAAGATATTCCACTTTTTTCTGCCTCTGTTTTCTCATCTGTAAAATGGAAATTGTGCTAGATCTTACCTCATTGGGATGTTGTGAGAATTAAATAAGGTAATGTAGATGATGAATTTGGAACAATGTTGCCAGCCTGAAGGGGGCCGACACTCTTATTTAGGGCAGGTCTGATTTGGGGGCAATTGGTCATTTGTCCAATGGACAATAAAGTTATACTTGTCTGCTCTACAGGGTTAAAAGGGGACAGGAGTGTTCATACATGTGAAAAACCCCTGAGTGCTTTAGCGTCATCGGGATTTAGGATTTGTAGAAAGTTTCTAAATGTGTTCATACTCCTTACAGGTGTATCTAGAACTTGAAGTAAGTTAGGGAGGAATCTGAATAGCCACTGAATCACTTTTTTTCAGAGCTTAATTCTACCCAAAACTTATTTGTTGCTCTCAGTTATCCTGATGGTGCTTTAATGCTGTATTGCCTTTTTCATTTCCTCTAATTTAAAAAAATTCATCTTCCTCTTTGCACTCTCATTCCATATTTTCCCTCCTTTTTCTCCCCACAATTTTGTACATATTTTTCTCTCTCTCTTTCTCTTTTTGTAGAAGTCAAGGTGTGATGAAAATGACCTGGTTTTCTATGGTGTGAAGGAAGAAGTGGGGTGTCAGGTAGAGAAGGATCATGGGGCAGTGGTGGGGGAGACTCACCCACCTAATTCTGAGCATTGCATAGAGACTGAATTTTCTTCCCCAAGAAAAGAGAAGTAATATTTTAATCTTCAGTTTACAGTGAAGAGCCTGAGGACAGGTGTTTAGACTCTTTTGGAGTATTGAAATGATTATACATACACAAAGACAATTGTTAGTGATAGTCACAATCTCTGAAAGTGAGGAAACCATTCTTTCATTTCATTCATTTATTCATTTATTCAATTAGCATTAAATACTTAGTGCCTAGTACTGTCGTTGAGCCAGGAAAGGCTTATGAAGAAATATAAAATTTGAGCATTAGAAGGTACTTATAGAAGGCAGTTCTGGGTAAGATAGCATCGTGATTATGTAATTAATTTTACAACACTACATATAAGTGGCCACTATGGATGCTAAGTGGTAAAAGAGTATGAGTAGGAGTATACCTGTGGAATATTGTGTATACTATGAATTTATTTTTATTTTGGTAAAATTTTTGTACATATACCTTAGTAATATGTTAAGGAATATCAAATAAACCTTTGTAAAATATTAAATGCATCTCAGTTGGGTTTGTATGAAATTGGAAGAAAAATTTTACCAATCAAAAAAGATATGGAGACATTGTATGGAGTAAAGTATTTCACATTTTGTATTTTAGATTCTGTTTTATAGTTTGACCTTAGAAAGGAAGATATGATGCTCTGAATATAAGGGGTGTCAATAAAAATTTTAAATAATTGCATCACTGATGTGTAAGAAGGAGAGTCTGGGCTGACTGTACTTATGGCAAAATAAGTAAAAGATCAACTTAAAAGTTTTATTAGGGTATCAAGCACTGATAACATTTCACTAGTTGTACTACTCTCATAGTAAGGTAAAATGGAGATTTTTCCATTTACACATTTAGTTCCCCACTTTAAGTTGGCAAACGCTGAGTTTTTCCACTGCATTTCTACATAACTGGACTCTTGCCAACTCCCAAGCGCGCGTGCGCGCGCGCGTGTGTGTGTGTGTGTGTACTGAGTTTTTCCACTGCATTTCTACATGACTGGACTCTTGCCAACTCCCAAGCGCGCGCGCGCGCGTGTGTGTGTGCGCACATTTTAATAGCTAGGCATACTAACACTGGTGCTATTAGCTCAAGTTATCTGCATTCTGGGGTTAAAACTTTTTTCTCTCTATAGACACTTTATAGGAGTAAAATCTGATCATAGTTCTTTGCAAGTTTGTAAATAGTTTGCTGTCAGATTGCTCAGACAGACACAAATAACAGTTCTGAAAGGTTGCTGTTAGGATGTTCCCTCTGGGAGTCCATTGTGTTCCAGGGCTATACCTATGAGATTGTGAATGTTCTTATTTTGTACTTTAGCTTTGTGTGAGCAGATATGCAGGATCTGTGCCTTTTATGCTCTTTCTGATGCGGATTCTTCCACTTGGAATGGTCTCCTTTGCTTTTCAATTTTCTACCTATTCTTTGAAGTCCAGCTCAAACAGCCAAGTTATTCCATGTTCTGTTGTAGGAAATTATTCCTGCATTCTTCATATTCAATTGTACTTATCTGACATTGATTATAAGATGCCTTGTACTTTATACACATTCAGTGTACTTTGCACACAGTTAAAGAGCATGCAGTTATTTTGTAGGATAGCAATGTTGAAAGAACTTGGAGCTTCTTGACTGGCAAATTTAGCTCTGCCTCTCACTCTCTTTAACTTTACTGAACTTCAGTTTCCTTGCTTCTAAATAGGGGCTACAAATGGCCATCTCATACAGATTGTTTTGAGGAGTAGGTGAGATAATGTATGCAAAGGGCCACCATTTTTTGAGGGTTTACTATACCCCAGGAATTGGGCAAAATGCATTATATAACATCTTCCCATGTATGAGTGTTAATGCCTATGAGTGTTAATTCCTTTACTCCCAATCCTGGGACAGAGTTGGTACTCACTGAATATTTCTCAAATGAATAGAATTGGACTTGGGCTAGCAGCAGGGCCCTGTCTGCTGAATCAGCTGCCCTGAGTTGGCAGTTGAGATGCATACAACTAAGGACCTCAGAGAGGGACGATACTAATGGGGCACAGTTCCCACCTATCTGTCTGAAAGGCTGCCAGGACATAATTCCTAAGCATGATGGAGAGCTCATGGGGAAGGGAGAGTGTCATTGCTAAACTACACTACTTCCTTTCCCACTCTCTCATTAATCTTCTCTCCCCCACCAGTGTTTACCAATTCTGTCCAGAAGAGGTGCAGATCTCATTCTGAGTCACTTCAGGGTTGTATTGGGAGTGCTGCATTTTTACTATATCCCATGGAATGTAAGGATATTGCAGATCTACATTCCTGGCCAAGAAAATAAAAAGGTCAACCAAAGCACTGTACCTATTTTGTGAACACTGTGTTAGGAATATTAGAGGCTCATGAAAATCCCACCTAACTAAAAACTGACATTCCCACCCTTGAGCTCTTATAAGTGAAGAGAATTTTGGGGATCTCCAGGTTGATGACTAATAACTTTCCCAGTGTTTTATTTTCATGAGCCATTGATTAAAGTAGGGAGTAGCACTATATATTTTCTCTTCCAGCAAAGCTATTTCCATCAAGTGGGAAGTTTGGGAAACTTCTGCAAGCCTCTAGGATATCATTTCATACATCAAAACCATTGTATTTGAGATGATATTTGAGGGGCATAGAAAAGAGTTTTTGCAGCCTTCACCTAGCCTTGTGCTGTTCCTGGGGAGCAATCTGTACAGCACAAGATTCTGGATGAAGGGAATTTCTCATGATACATCGATGGGTCAGTGTTCACATCTTGTGCTGCTCCTGAAGGCTGGAGTTAATGAGGAAGAGTTTTTATGTGAATATCAGGCCATGTTGCAATAACTAGCCACAATGGAATAGTCGTGGCAATTTCCACCACTTGGTTTCTTTGTTTTTGTGATGTTGCTGCATGCTTTATTTTATGAGTATTTTCTTTTCTTGTGTGTGGTTGAACCCATTGATTGCCATCTTGGTCTTGGATAGTTGGATTTAAAAGGAGATGCAGAACAGAGGGAGAAACTGGAAAATCGACAGAATGATATATCTTATACACTTATTAATTTATTTCTCTCCCTCCACTTCTGCTGACAGATATTCTGGTGACTAATATTCTGATGAATTTATGTCTTTAGGAAAAGGAAAAAATACTTTCTCTAAAGGGAGTCTTGAAAAACAGATTATAACAAGACATAAGTACTGTGAAAATTGGCTTTTCTTTTGGTGAATATAATGGATGTAGACCAACTTTAGTAATGTTTTTTTTTTTTTTTTCTGAAATAAGTGAAAATTTTCAACAGTCTTTTTGGTTTGGTTTACTGGAGCAAGTAATTTGAGTACTTGAGGGTTTATATTTTGATCCTAGCATCTATTACTTGAATGCTAATGTATATTGGAGTGAGAGCCCTAGAATAGAATATAAGGACTGGTGAAATTCTAAGTGTCTTGAGATATTTTCATTCATTTCATTCATGAGCATGAATTATACTCTCACTGCAGAAAGGCCTAATGAGGATGTTGTGTGCTTCACATACATTGATTCCCAAGATGGAGATCTGTACATCTGTGGCAGTACATGTGGGGAACCGCTCATAGTTGGCCAGCATCTTCAGGTCTGTGATCAAACCAAGCAGAAGAGCTCAGGTCACAGCTTAAGGAGGTATGAAGCTGAGGATGTTGAATTCTTCAGGACAAAGTGCTGCTAATAGATGCAACATATATAGGAAATGTGCCTCCATTCCTGGCACTCTATGTTTGGAATTTTACACCCTTGTAACACTTCCATCACCTTTCAATCTTCTCCGCCTATACTTTAAAAGGATGCCAAAGGCATCCTTTGTGCTTTACCTATCCATTTTCGAAGTTGTGTGCATCCAATCCTGAATATTAGAAAGACCCTTTTGCCATTTTTCACTTCGTAGTTTTTACTGTTTCCGTTTTACTACTGGGTATTTTTTTTGTTTTGTTTTGTTCTTTACGATTTGACGTCAAATCCTGTCTAAACGCTGAGGCTTTATTCATGTTAAAGAAAAAAGCCAGCCAAACAAATAGGCCTAAGAAGGCAAAGTGTCTTCCTGCTATTACCCGGTTCTGGAGTTCACTGACTCCTTGGCTCAGGGTTAGGAGTGTGTGTGTTAACGCGTCGAGAAGGAGATACAAGCTCGGCCTTCGAATTGGCCAGCCTGGTGACCAGCGAGTCCGCCCCACTC